TGGGATTCAACCCTGCCAAATTTAAAACCAGCCATGGCCACTACTGTAGTAGCCAGAAACATGGAGTACTTGCTGACACAGTTACAAGCTCACATAATGGCCATTTCCCCTAAAGACAAAATCCTTGAATTATTTGAGACGTTGTTGCAGGGAGTGGGGTACATCGTGGACTCATCCGCAGAGTCGGTAAGATTGGGGGCTAGGTCAGCGGCTCTAACCAACTCAGTCCGTAGGGCCCTGTGGCTCAAGACATGTCAGGGGGGACATCATGTCTAAAATAAAATTATGTGGCATCCCCTTTTTAGGAGATCTCCTGTTTGGGCCGGGAGTAGAGTCAGTGTTAGACCGTACGGCGGATAGGAAAAAGTACTTCCTCCTGAAGCGAAAGTTACAGGATCTAGGGGATAGGAGATTTCATCCCCCAAAGAGACAGAGCCCTAGGGCTGAAGGACAGAGGAGGACTTGGGGGCAGAGAGGGAGGGACGATATTCCGTCCTGAACAGCCCCAGAAACCACGGTGACTCGGTTCCCTCGGTGGGAGGAAGATTGGCAGCCTTCCTTCCACAGTGGGAAGCGGAGGTCTCCAGCCCTTTTATATTTGCCATCATAAGAAAGGGTTACCAACTGGAATTCTCGAGACCACCGCTGAAAAGATTATTAAGGAGTCTGCCCAGATGTCCTCAGAGGGCCACAGCCTTGCTAGCCTCGCATCGGGATTTGGAGGCACAGAAAGTGGTGGTAAGAGTTCCCGAAGCAGAAGTGGGAAAGGGTTTCTATTCCCAAGTGTTTGTGGTTCAGAAACCATCGGGGGCCTACAGATTAATTTTAAATCTGAGACCCCTAAACGAGTCCATACGTTACAAAAGATTCCGGATGGACTCGATCTTTACGATCAGAGCCCTCCTTCCACCAGGGGCATTTCTGGCCTCCATCGACTTAAAGGATGCCTATCTGCACGTGCCTATCGCAGAGGCATTCCAGTGATTCCTCAGGTTGGCAGTTCAGAGCACAGCAGGGACACACCATCTGCAGTTCCGGGCCTTGCCATTTGGACTCTCCTCCCTCACCAAGAATTTTCACCAAGGTTCTGTCCAAAGCATTAGTTCCTATTCGGCTGAAGGGAATTGCAGTAGTGGCCTATCTGGACGACCTGCTTCTATTTGCGGGTTTGGCAGTTCAACTTGTGCGGGACGTGGCAGTGGTGAGGAGACGCTTGGAGAGTCTGGGATGGCTGCTGAACTTGGACAAATCTTGCCTAGTTCCTTCCCAAAGAATGACCTATTTAGGGTACATTCTGGATTCCACAGGGCAGAAGACCATGCTAACCACAGAAAAGCTTGCCAAGTTAGACGGGGGGATCAGGCTGTTTCTGGGAAGCCGCGACGTAACCGTGAGGCAGGCTATGTCGGTGTTAGGACTGTTAACTTCATCCATCCCGGCAGTACAGTGGGCAGGGCTGCATCTTCGTCCCATTCAACTTCTCATTCTGAGAGTCTGGGACAGGCAGGTGCGGTCCTTAGATACCCAAATTCATTGCAGTGCTTCTGTCTTGGGCAAGAAAGAAATCTTGCCTCCTTATCAGCCATCCACCTAAAAGGGGAATTGAATCGGGTAGCCGATTTCCTGAGCAGAAGACAACTGAGAGAGTCGGAATGGGCCCTAAATGGAGAGGTGTAAAAGGCCATTGAAAGAAGTGAGGATCCCCAGACATAGACCTCTTCGCGTCAGGGCGGAACAAAAAGGTCCCGAGATTCTTTTCCTTAAACCGGTGGGACGGGGTGCGGGCAGTGGATGCGTTGGGACAGAGGTGGGATTTTCCTCTGTGCTACGCCTTCCCTCCGGTCTCCTTACTGTCAGTGGTGTTAAGGAAGTTTAGGGCGGAGAGAACTTCTCTCATCCTGATTGTTCCGTATTGGCCCCGGAGGGCATGGTTCGCAACATTGAGGGCTCTAGCCACGCGGCCACCCTGGGTGTTACATCCGCGGAAGGATGTACTGTCACAGGGCCCGGTCCTATGTCCCAGGGTGGAGAGACTGAAACTGACGGCTTGGTTTCTGAGCAGCAACTCCTGTTAGCAAAGGGCTCTCAGCTAGGCTGGTGGCTACGCTCCTGGCTAGCAAGAAAACAGAAACCCAAGCCATTTACAGGAAGGTTTGGAGTCTATTTAGAGAATGGTGCTACAGGGCCTCAGTGGATACCCATAGCCTAGTGTCAGTACTGGAATTCCTGCAGGCAGGGGTCGATAAAGGGCTTGCGATCAGCACACTCAAGAGCCAAATTTTGGCCCTTAGTGTGTTTCTGGAAACCCCTTTAGCTAAGGAGGGATTGGTAATCAGGTTCTTTAGAGCTCTGACAAGACAGAGATCTCCCGGGAGTAGGCCATTCCCAATGTGGGATTTGACAAAAGTACTCAAGGTATTGATGGAGCCTCCGTTTGAGCCCCTGGGGTCCTGCTTGCTAAGGGAACTCACGCTTAAAACAGTTTTTTTTGGTGGCGGTCACCACAGCAAGGAGGGTGTGTGAACTGGAAGCCCTGTCAGTCAGGACACCTTACTTGCAAATTTTTCCGGATAGGGTGGTGTTCAGAACGGACCCATCCTTTGTTCCGAAGGTGGCCCAAAAATTTCAGAGGGAACAGGATATAGTTTTTTTTTTTTTCCTAACCCGGTGGGGAAAGTCGGGAGAAATTTCATTTGTTAGACGTAAGAAGGTGTGTTCTACTTTACCTAGAGAGGACTAAAGAATTTCGAAGCACAGAGTCATTTTTTTTATTTCTTTTGTGGGGGCGAGAAAAGGGGAAAAAAAGCCTCCAGGCACACAGTAATTAGATGGTTAAAGCTAGCAATTGAACAGACATACCAAACCGAAGGTCTAGAGGTCCTGGAGGAAATTAGGGCTCATTCCACACGGGCCATGGCGGCAACTCAAGCTGAACTGGCAGGAGCCTCCCCTGAACAGATTTGTAGGGCAGCAACTTGGTCCAGTTACAGGACGTTTGTAAGGCATTACAGACTTGACCTGGTCTCGGTGCAGGAGCAGGCCTTTGGACATAAGGTCCTGCAAGCAGTCAGCCTGCCCGAGGGGTAAGTACTCACTTATCCTCTCAAGGTGCTGTCCTGAAAGACAAAGGGGGAAAAATAAAGTTACACTTACGGTAACGCCTTTTCCAGTAGTCTTTCAGGACAGCACCGGTTACCCACCCTTTGTTGCAGAACTGTATATGATATGTCTTCTAGTTGTCCTGTTGTCTCATATTATGTCTCTCCAGGTGACCGGAGGTATGTTTCCAAGAACTGAGGTTGGAGGGGAGTGATAGGCTTTTTGTTTAGGGTGGAGGTGTTTCCTCAAGTGGGGAGGAGCCAAGGTCTCTCAAGGTGCTGTCCTGAAAGACTACTGGAAATGGCGTTACCGTAAGTGTAACTTGATTTTTTTTTTTTTTTTTTTTTTATTGTAAAACATGAAAGTTATACTTAAGCAGATACTATCCCCCCCCTCCCCCCACCCAAAAAAAATTTGTGGACCCCCACATATATGCATGTACAAACGTAAAAGCACACGCTGGGGCGCCTACGCATGAAATTGTCAATTGTGATACATATGTCACATATCGCAGCGCATGGCAGAATGAGAGTAATAAGTCTAGCACCAGACCTCCACGCTAAACTGATGACCTATAAGGAGCTTTAAAAGTGTAGACCTATAGAAAATATAGGGAACTGAAGTTTGGTGCCATTTCACAAGCGTGCACAAATTTTAAGGTTGGATATCTATTTACTTGGTGCAACATCATCTTTTATATTTTTACAAAAAAAAAAATGTTAACAATATTAAATGTTTTAGTCGCCATAAATCCCCTTTTGTTTTTAAAAATCCCAGACATTCTTAATATCACCTCCAATTTAAATATGAACTCTGATTTAAATACAGTATTGTTTTTATTATGTTCTTTTATCGGGACAAGTAGATTGGGGCACCAATTTACTCCCTGGACAAGTAGTTTATTCAAAAACTTTCACACTCGGGTATCCTGATCTTCCTTTTTTTTTTTTTTTTTGTTCGTGACCAAATATTTTTTACTTTTACTACTGGTTTGGTACTTGGTTTTTTACACTATATGCAGTACATCAACCATTCTGATTGTGCATTCAGGAGCTCTTGGCTAGAGGAAGCAGAAAAGGGTCCTTTTTTTTTTTTTTTTTTTTTTTTTCCCAAGCCTTTCCAGTGTGTATATAGATTGCCCTTTTATGGAATTCTGTAGAAAATCCCCGTATGTGTTGCCTCTCAAAATGTTACCTTTGCTACCTAGAAAGTCTAGTTTTATGTTAAGTTTATTTCAGACAAATTACTTATCTGCATGGTGTATAACTTTTGTCATATTGAAAGATCAATATATTTGCAAAAGGCTTGTGCAGATGTTTTAAAGCTGGTCTGTGCAAAATGTCTTCATGTGTTTTAGAAAAGCAAAATTTTTCTGCTACAGCAAGGGCTAAGTCACACCACACCACTGTGTTACAATTCAGCTGCTGATGTGTGGTCCAGAAAAGATCACTCCAGTGCCAATGTGCTGGGATTTTTTGCTGTTCACTTTTTTTTTGTTTTTTTAAAGCTATTTTTATTGAAATGTCAAACAGATTTCATTAAGTTCAATTGCCCACCACACGGTGAGAGATGGTGGATTGTCTTGCAGTGCTCAGTGCTGAAAGTCCCGTAAGCAGTACTTTTTATTTATTTTTTTTTTTTTTTGCATTGAATGAACCAGGCACTGAGTAGACCAGGCATTTTAACTTGTCTTGCAGTGGGGATGCACTGCAAAAGCCACCCAACACAGTCCCACTGCACCTGGTGTGAATGGGCCCTAACAGTTGCGACTGTAGCTGTATCACTATTAAAATTGGCTGTAGCTGTAAAAGTAATATAGTACTGATAGATTTTATAACTCCTTACAGCACTTCTGGGGACCTGTGGCTAACTGGGGACTCCCAATTGCAGCTATCAATGATATGAAGAAGTCGCCAGAAATCATTAGTGGCCGTATGACATTCGGTAAGATTTATATATTAGATTGGTTCATAGAAGAAGAAAATAATTCCATGAATTCCATCACTTTAACTTCAGGTGCTGCTGTATTGCTTATTACACATTTTATAGATGATAGAAGTGCTTTATTGTAAAGTAGCATACTAGGCTGCAGATTGAACCCTGCTCCACTCCTCTTAAAATTGGGAGGAAAAACAATGTGGTGGCATCTCTAAGAGTCTCTGCTGCTATTGGTTACATAAGGGGTTAAAATTGTGAATTGCACTTTGGCTATTGGCTAGGATGCATAGTATTGTGTTCCTTGGAAAAATAGGCTTTTGCAAAGTTGAATTCCACATATAATCTATAAATGGATGTACTGCCTTGCTTTCTTTCTTTACCAAAACCTCCCCATTTTCTTACCAAAATTTTTTTTTTATGGTCATTAAGTACAGCATTATGGCAATATCTTTGGCAAAATTCGCCATCCTGAATACACTATGAAGTATTGGTAAAGTGTAAATTGAAAGGAGGGACAGGGTTGCCACATATGGAATTGTATTCTATGGCTACAATCAATTGGTTTTTCCATTCTAAAATCAAACCATGGTTCTCCATAGAACAACACATGTTTGACCTACCTCTGATCTTCCTTCCATGAGTGTACAGCCAACATCGTCCACTAAGAAGTCACTCCCATATTTAACCCACATCTTTTTTGAAGCCCTAGGACGTGTTGGTGCGGAGATGAGGAATTTCCTCATCACCAGGCCCCTTGACACAGATACTGGGACCCAGGATTTCCAGTGAGGCTTTCCTCCCCTAGTTTTTTTGCTCCGACAAATAGGCTGCCCTCTCCAATATGACACGCGTACAATGCTAATGGACTTCTACCACTAGCTGAACTTACAGCAGGGGAGCTTATTAGCCTGGGCAACTGGCTGTTGTTTTGTAGTAAAACATTTTTTTGGCAACTCGCCAAACATGGTCTAAGCTCTAGAGATGCAACTCCTGTAGGGACTTTTTGTCTTCAGAACTAGTGCCCGCAAGCAATCTCTACTATTTCTGACATACTTCAATATGCCTTCTCTTACAATCTATTGTATACTGAGGAATGGGAGTGAGAGTTTTTTTTTTTTTTTTTTTTTTTTTTTTTTTTTCTTTTCACAATACACTCTGTTTTTTTGTGATTGAGTAGCAGAACCATGTACTCCATACTCATTCACATGGGGGGAGCGGGATCTGGGGAACCCCTCGTTAAAGGGGGTTTCCAGATTCCGATAAGCCCGCTGCCTGCAGACGCTCACAACCATTAGCCAGGGCTGTGGGGAAGAGGCCTTTGTCCCCATCAACATGGGAACAAGGTGCCTTATTCAGGGCATGGGGCCCCCCTTTCTGACCTGCCGGGCTGCATGCTCGGATAAAGGTCTGCCATGGATTTTGGGGGGGACCCCCAAATCAATAAAAAAAAAAAAAAAAAAAATATATATATATATATATATATATATATATATATATATATATATATATATATATACACACACACACAGTTGCAAGAAAAAGTATGTGAACCCCTTGGGATTAAGTGGAGTTCTGCATGAATTGGGCATAAAATGTGCTCTGAACGTCATCTAAGTCACAACAATAGAAGAACACAGTGTGCTGAACATAATACTACACAAACATTAGATGTTGCCATGGTTTAATTGCACATAACATGTACACATTCACAGTGCAAAGAGGAAAAAGTATGCGAGGCCCTAGCTTAATGACTTCTCCCAGAGCTAATTGGAGCCAGGAGTGAGCCAACCTTGACTCCAATCAGTGTGATGATATTGGATGTGTTGCTGACAGCTGTCCTGCCCTTAAAACACACACCTGTTTTGGGTTTACTGGTTTCAAGAAGCACTGTCTGATGTGAACCATGCCTCGCAGAAAAGAGCTCTCAGAAGACCTACGATCAAGAATTGTTGACTTGCATGAAGCTGGAAAGGGTTACAAAAGTATCTCCAAAAGCCTTGATGTTTATGTGTCCACGGTAAGACAGACTGTCTACAAATGGAGAAGTTTAGCACTGTTGCTACTCTCCCTAGGCGTGGTTGTCCTGTAAAAATGACTGCAAGAGCACAGCGCAGAATGCTGCATGAGGTAAAGAAGAATCCCAGAGTGTCAGCTAAAGACCTACAGAAATCTCTGGCACATGCTAACATTTTTGTTGACACATCTACAATAAGGAAAACATTAAACAAGAATGACGTACATGAGAGGACACCACAGAGGAAGCTATTGCTGTCCAAAAAGAATATTGCAGCACATTTGAAGTTTGCAAAAGAGCACCTGGATGTTCCACAGCACTACTGGCAAAATATACTGTGGACAGATGAAACCAAGATTGAGTTGTTTGGGAAGAACACACACTATGTGTGGAGAAAAAAAGGCACAGCACACCAACATCAATACCTCATCCCCACTGTAAATCATGGCGGAGGGAGCATCATGGTTTGGGGTTGCTTTGCTGCCTCAGGGCCTGGACGGATTGTTGTAATTGATGGGGGAAAATGAATTCCAGAGTTTATGAAGACATTTTTGCAGGAAAACCTACGACCATCTGTCTGCCAACTGAAGCTCCGCAGAGGATGGGTGATGCAACAGAACAATGACCCAAAGCATACAAGTAATTCAACAAAACAATGGCTGCAACAGCACAGATTACGCCTTCTGGAGTGGCCCAGTCAGAGTCCTGACCTCAACCTGATTGAAATGCTGTGGCATGACCTTAAGAGAGCGATTCACACTAGACATTCCAAGAATATTGCTACACTGAAACAGTTTTGTGAAGAGGAGTGGTCCAAAATTACTCCAGATCGTTGTGCAGGTCTGATCTGCAACTACAGGAAACGTTTGGTTGAGGTTAATGCTGCCAAAGGAGGGTCAACCAGTTATTAAGTCCAAAGGTTCACATACTTTTTTCCTCCCTGCATTGTGAATGTGTACATGTTATGTGCAATTAAACCATGGCAACATCTAATGTTTGTGTAGTATTATGTTCAGCAGACTGTGTTCTTCTATTGTTGTGACTTAGATGACGTTCAGAGCACATTTTATGCCCAATTCATGCAAAACTCCACTTAATCCCAAGGGGTTCACATACTTTTTCTTGCAACTGTACATTCAGTACATTAAGTACATGCTGACAGCTTCAGATAAGTGTGGATTTGCCTGGGCATTCCAACATCCGGTGTCTGTTCCTCTGCTTTTGTGCCTGTTGCTTCTTCATTTGCTTTGCTTTGTATGAGTTCCAGGTGAATGTCCATGCCTCTGTGGATGCAGATTTCAGTCACAAAGCTCTTTCTCTGAGTTGGGTTCTTGACCCTTGGATTTTTTGATGAGCCCATTGACAAGGTCCTGTTTGCCTTGTTGTTGCCCAGCTTTCTGATTCATTGCTTGAGTATGTCCCTAGATCTGTGAGTATCCAGATTTTCCTGTAGTGTAAGATTAAGATAAATTGAATTTTTACTTGCCTGTAAATTCCATATCTTGAAGTACAGAACACAGGCCACCCTCATCTCTCCTGTGATACTCTGTATTGCTTTAAAAAGAAAACCATAAAACTTAGGTCTCATAGAGTGGGGTGGGCTTATACAGGTACACCCAGGGGATGGGTGTGTCCCAAAGCTTTTCCAGTGTCCATTCACTTGAATATAGCAGCCTATAGCCTAGGGTCTTTGAATGGTCCAGTCTGTGCCCTTTACTTAGATACAGAATTCACAGGCAAGTTGATATTCCTTTTATTCGCACCCCATTGCTCAGGTCAGTGGAACCTTTTCATCACTTCTCACTGTTTCCAATGGCACATATCAAGGATGCCCGTTCTCCCCTCTTATTTTCATTATGCTAGACTGCAAGAAGGGCATTTAAACATTATAAAAAATGAAGTTATACTATCATTGTTTGAAGTTACAAAGACTATAATAGAATATGAAAATAGTAAATCAAGGCTGCAAAAATTAACAAGCTGCAGGTTACCTGCAAAAGAGACAAACTCCCAAGAAGTCTGAACATGTAGGTTGTTTTCTTTGTATCCAGTCACCAACTCTAAATTGTAAAAACCTCTTTCAGCTCTGCGTATACAAAGGAAAATGGTGTCCATAGTGGGGATAGTATTGCTCAAAATTGATATGATCCAGAAACCTGCATACCTGTGGTCGAGAAGGACTTGAGTGTTCTGGTAGACCAGGGGTGGGCAAACTGCAGCTCTCCAGCTATTGTGGAACTACATTTCCCATGAGGCATTGCAACATTACAAAACTGACAGTTACAGATATGACTTGCAGAGGCATGATGGAACTTGTAGTCCTGCAACAGCTGGAGAGCCGCCGTTTGCCCACCCCTGTGGTAGACCATAGACTTAATAGCATGTGTAGCGCCCTCTGGTGTATATAGTTGGTAGTGTAAAGGCTTGTTAGAAGCCTGGGCGTGAGTCAGTGTGAGGTCAGACTGTAGGGCTCTACAGTTCAGGCCTCTGGTACCTCCCCCTGGTTCTAGAAGCTTGGAGATGTTTTAAAAAGTTAGTGGGTGGAGGCCAGAAGGTGCTGATCGGCATATTCATGCGAGTCTGACCAATCCCAGGCAGGAGGCCTGGCAGTGTGGCAGGCAAGCCAATAAATGAGAGAGCCTGGCCAGTAGGGAAGTCGGGTGGAAGATGGAGTGCTGAGGTGTGTTGCTGTGTAGCCCGGGAGGGGACCCTGGAGAAGGGGTTTCTGCCTCCAGGCTGGAGGTTGGAATGATGGGAGAAGGAAGTTGACAGAGGAAGCTCCACTGACCTTCAGTCCACTGAGGGAGGACAGCCTGTTATCCTGCAAGGAAATCAGCCCAGCGCAAAGCCTGAAAGCAGTTTATCCAAAGCTACAGGACACAAAGACCATGTGAACAGCTCTACACCCCAGGGGCCTACAAGAGAGAGGGCTGCTAGGTGCTATACCCAACCAGTTCTTCCTGGGACTGGGCTACAAGTCTGTTCTAGTATC